AAAATGCTCTACTTCATTAATCATCAGGGAGATGCAGATCAAAACAACAATGAGATATCATTTCACACCAAGAGACTGGTCCACATTCAAAAGAACAAAAGCAACCTGTGTTGGCGCGGATGTGGTGAGAAAGGGACCCTCCTTCACTGCTGGTGGGAATGCCGACTGGTTCAACTCTTTTGGAAAACAGTATGGACGACTCTCAAAAAATTAGAAATTGAGCTCCCATTTGACCTAGCAATACCACTCCTGGGAATATACCCCGGAGAGGACAAAAAGTATAGTCAAAGTGACATCTGCACTTGTTTGTTCATTGCAGCACTGTTTACAATAGCTAGAATATGGAAAAAACCTGAGTGCCCGAGAACAGATGACTGGCTAAAGAAACTTTGGTACATCTACACAATGGAGTACTATGTAACAGTTAGAAAAAATGAAGTCATGAAATTTACATACAAGTGGTACTACATGGAAAATATTATGCTAAGTGAAATGAGTCAGAAAGAGAGGGACAGACACAGAAAGATTGCATTCATCTGGGTGACATAAAGTAACAAAATTAGAGACTAACAACCGAGAACAGCTGTGATAAATACCAGGTTGTTCACTTCATGGCTTAGAGGCCGAACGCACACTCTTCGGGTGAAGGCAGCTCAGATAGAAAAGGGAGCCCCAAATAAAGGGTGCTGGGAAGATCTGCCCAGGATGGGAGATGCCTGCTGAAAGTAATCTATGGACGAAACATGATTGCCACCCTATGTCTCTTCTGCAGACCACAGCACCCAAAAGGAGAGATAGAACAAAAGGGAGTACCCTGACACAGAGGCAGGTTGGGATGGAGGATGGGGGGGTGGGAGGGATTCAGGGATTGGTGGGGGTGGAGAATGGGCACCGGTGGTGGGATGGGTACTCGATCATTGCATAACTGAAACCCAAGCACAACAACTTGTAAGTCTACAACTGTACCCCATGTTGTTTCACTAATAAAAAAATTTAAAAAAAAAAAGATAACAGAAACAGAACAAAAATTTTAAAAGAAAAAATAAAAAACTGTTTCTCTATTGGAAGCATGGAAGTTAATATTTAGAAAAATATAATTATTATGCTCTTTTAGATAATAAATATTATAAATGTTTTTAATTTTTTACATCATTTACCTGTATGATTTATAAAAGGGAATAATGGGTAACAGAAATACTATAAGGATGTTGCTGTGACCATGGCTGACCCCAGTTTGATACCTGGCACCATATATAATCCTCTGAGCACAGCCAGAAGTGCCCTTGAGCTCAAAGTAAGGAATAAGTCCTAAATATCACTGGGTTTGGCCCCTAAACCTGCAAACCAAAACTAAAGAAGTAAACAAAAGAATAAAATGCTACAGAGGCTATGCTTGTTTGTTTGGAAGGGGTGATGTATATAAATAAACTGTATCTAAAAATCTAGAATAACTGCTAAGTTGGAAGTAGAATTTTTTAAACCTTTTAAGAGCATTGTTCTTTGGGAACCAAGTATTGAATCCAGGAACTTTATACATCCAAGTCATGTGCTCTATACTTGAAACACACATATTTCTTTATTTTTTTAACCTCCAGTAAACAGCAGTACTTCTGAAATTTCCTGACACTATCTAAGAAAAAACTGTGGTTGAATATATCGAATATATTAATTTAATTTTATTTACTTTAGACTTCTTTGCCTTCCTTTTCATATTCTGTGTATACTGTGGGCTTTTTTAAAATTGCTATGAGAAAAAATTTAAATTTTTTAATTTAATGTAGAGAAAAGCCATAAGCCATAACTGTTCATACAATCCTAAAGTTCAAATTGATTACATAACAAAAGTAGCAATATTAAAATTGACAAATATAAAAAATAAATTCTTATGTGAGAATTGTCATATCTCATCATGGATTTGTTAACTCTTGTCTAAGACTTTACTATTGCTCAACTGTTTTAAATTGAGCTTTCTTTGTGATGGTTTTTGTTGTTTGGCTTTTTTTTCTTTTTGGGTCACACCTGGTGATGCACAGGGGTTACTCCTGGCTCTGCACTCAGGAATTACTCCTGGCAGTGCTCCGGGGACTATATGGGATGCTGGGAATTGAACCCGGGTCGGCCGCGTGCAAGGCAAACGCCCTACCCGCTGTGCTATCACTCCAGTCCCTTGTTGTTTAGTTTTTGTTGGCTTCTATGTTATGTAATTTCCCATCCAATTTGGTGTGCTCTACCTGGAATTTCAGTATCGAGGAATTAGAAAGTGCTGTGTGGCCACATACTTCAGGAGCCATGGTCTGGGCCAATGAGTTGATATGGCTGTGGATATGAAAGATGGGATTCTGGAAATTGTAGGGCAGGGGGAGGCTGCCCACTCCGACTCTAAGAAGACACCAGAGTCCTCAGCCTGAGCACCAGGGTACCTGCAATTATTCACCATTTGGTGTCTCTGTAGAGAAAGTTAGTGAAGCAGTAGAGAAAAGCCATATAGTAGAGTTGAGCCCTTGGTCTGGCTGCAGCAATGGGGTGTGGGAGCAGCTGCTGAGGCTTCAAAGGAGGAATTTCTTGCATTTAGGAAATGGTCTTAGGATATTTCTATCAATGAAATGTTCTTAGATATTGAAAGTTTGTGTTCCTGATCTCCCATCCTCTAAGCACAGATTTTAAAATCTTTATAGAACCATGTGTAACTTTTATTACCTATGTTTTCATTATTTAGAGAATTAGGTTATTTATTTTTAAATAAATATATTAAAATATTACTGAAATAGAAACACACTTAAAGACCCATAACTACTCTTGAAGCAAGTAGCACTGTAGCACTGTCCTCCCACTGTTCATCAATTTGCTCGAGCGGGCCCAGTAACGTCTTCATTTTGAGACTTGCTGCTACTGTGTTTTGGCATATTGAATACGTCACAGGTAGCTTGCCAGGCTTTGTGGTGTGGGCGAGATACTCTCCGTAGCTTGCCGGGCTCTCCGAGAGGGGCAGAGGAATCGAACCTGGTTCAGCTGCATGGGCTACTGTTGAAATACAAGGAGCTTAGATTTATCAGGTTGCTCCCATTACAGTACTCCCGAGTCACTCCTATTCCTTTATCTGTAATCACTTCTCTATGCTCTCTTCCCCAATCAGTTAATCAGCTTTTCCCCTAATCAGAATTTGTTAATTTGTAAGGTCTGATCCTTCTAGGACACTGAACTTGTAAGTTAATATTGCCTTTCTCCTCTCCTTATGTCTTTTGAATACCTTAATGCAATGTCCTTTTTGTATAGATACAGGAAGACAATATTATGCTTTGTAACTTAGGATTTAATTGGCTTTGAATATTATTCATTCCTGGGTATCTGCTTTCTCAACTTAAGCCTCAGTTGCCCTCACTTCCTAGCATCCCAAGGGCAGGGTCCCGACGAGGGACTGGATGGAACCAGGGCAAGCAGGTAAGCTATGTGCTACCCTGGCATCAAGATGGGCCAGGCCAAAGCGCCACGATTCTTAACTATAAGTTAGGAGTTTGATCATAGACAAATGCTGTCATGATCCAAAACTAACAGCGAGACCAGGACCCTGCTAGGGATAGGAAAGACTATCTGGCCTGAGCACTGTAGTCTGAGATCGAGATGGCCCTAGGAGAGCAATTCTATAAGCTTAAAGTATTTCTTACTGTGTCCATCCAAAATGATTTGTATTATGTATGCTTATATATTTGTTGGACAAGGAGAGGAGAAACACACCCAGGGAATTCTGTTCTAGGGTGGGTTGATCTGCTAAATGAGAATCTGTCCTAGAAGCAGCTTTCCCGTGTGTCCTGACTAGTTTCGATGAGGCTGAACATTTCTCCCCTTCAAACTGAGTTCAGTAAATAATTTCAGTGTATTCTAAGAGGCGGAAACCTCAGGTGCTAGCCAAGCCTGATCTTTGGGATATAGGTTCCAGGCTCTAGACAGGCTAGTCTTTGGGATGCAAAGCTCAGATACTTGTCTTTGGGATGTAGATTCCAAGCTCTAGCAGACTGGTCTTTGGGATGCAAATCCAAGTGCTTACAGCTTGTGAAAGTGCTGTGAAAGGTTTCATTCTTGGTTTGCAGATGTAAAGAAACAATGTATGTTTTGCAGCCTCAGTGTTCTTTCTGTAACTCAATTTGATGACATCACTGTATTGTGCCCTTTAGAAGTACCATGATCTATATAAGGAGATTTTCTGGGCTCTCTGGGGAGAACATGTGCTTTAGAGAACCTGGGAAGATGGGGCTGAGAGAACTGAAGAGACAGGTCTGAGAGAATGTGAGAGCACGTGCTTGAGAGATCTTGGGCCCTCCATGACATAAATTTCTTCCATGTAATAAACTACTACTAAGACCAACCAGCCTGGTCCTCATTTCCTTCCTTTGCCTGACCTCCCTGGAGTGGGGAAATGGCCTGAGACTACCGAATGAGGGTGGCAGGGAGAGATATAGGCCGCTGCTGTCCCTTTGCCCGTCTTTTTGTGTTTACACAGGCTACGTGCAAGGCAAACGCCCTACCAGCTGTGCTAATTTTTAAAATTTACAATGTTTCATTTTGAAATTTATTCTGAGATTTGTTGTTTACAATATTAGTAAAAAAGGTTTTATGATACTCATTGTTTCTATATTAAGTTAAAATGTGATGAGTTTTCTTTATCGCCAAGTTAGATAAAACAAATGTTCAAAAATGCACTTCTTTTTCATTTATTTTACAAAGGTCAGATTTCAACAACAACAAAAAAAACACAAACTCACACTTGACAATGAAAGTTCTTGTGTGACCGAACAATTCTAAGCTCCATTATAGATGAATTATTATAATTATTGTTTTAATAATAGAAAAAAGAGGTTTTATTTTTATACATGAAAATTCCTCGGTTGAATTTTTAAACTATATGATACACTTAGGCAATAGGCATTTGTGGCCATTCTAAACATTTTAGTCCCACAGTGACTTCTGCAAGCAGCCCGTATTATTAAAACATATGTTTGACTTACCACCAAAGGTTCAGTGCGTGGTCTGGGTAAGCAAGAAAAGGTCTCTCTCAGGAAAGTGGTAATCTCCAGGAGAAGTTGGCATGCTGCCATCTTCAAAGCAAAGGGGCAGCCACATTTAGAGGGATTCACAGTACCTATGGAGTAAGAATTATTTTATAAGTAAGCAAGCACTGTCTTCCCGTTGTTCATAGATTTGCTTGAGCAGGCCCAGTAACATCTCCATCATGAGACTTGTTATTACTGTGTTTGGCCTATCGAATGCGCCACGAGGAGCTCGCCAGGCTCTGCCGTGTGGGCGAGATACTCTCAGTAGCTTGCCGGGGTCTCTGAGAGGGGTGGAGGAATTGAACCTGACTTGGCCAAGCCGGCTGCACGCAAGGCAAACGCCTTACCGCTGTGCTATCCCTCCAAGTAAAACAATTAAAAAATACAGAGAGGCACTGTTTAATGGACATTAGCTATATGTGCAAAATCAAATTGCATATGCGAGCATTTCCTGTACATGTCCAAAATGAAATTGCTTATGAGAATGGAATCTATACAGCTTCAATCGACCTATTTCCTTGAGCAAAATCTGTGTATTGCCACGCGCCTCTTTTGTCCTTTAGCTAGCAATTTGATAACAAGTTCTGATATTAAAAGATCAGTCCTAAGAATAAAATTATTCTCCTTAAAGAATTAGAGCATAACAAAATGCCGCTACACTAAACTAAAAATCCATTTAATGAAAATAGAAGAAGCAGACTGGCAATATTTTCCCGCTATTATTAAATCAGATGTAGACTATATACATAACAATGAACCAGATTAGTAATTACAAAAACCCTGTTAGTTCATTTTATGAGAAGTATCTATCTTGATGTCCTGAGGAAAGTGAAATCATTTCAGCTCCAGTCCTGATGTGTTTCTGCAGCACAGATGAAACATTCTTGATCCTCCATATCACACAGTTTAGACAGCCTAAGCTGTTATATTAAGACATGAAGTATGAAACTATTCTTCTTTTCTCTGAATACTATCAGTCCCCTTAAGACTAAAACAACATATACATGAGAGACTAAGTAATGAATATTTTTCTAAAAGCAGATAATGATCAAGGTGACATCATAGATAGTTTTGGAATTCCCCAGATTAGTGCTTAGACTCATCACAAATTAGAGATATACTGATTACTTATCAGTGTTAAGAATTATTTATTAGTGTTAAGTGATAAGAAGACTGAAGCAATATTAGATTTTAATTCTCATGAAGAAAAGAAAATAGCCATTTATTTTGAATGAATCAAGTCATGAAGCAATCATTACATATAACATTCTTAAAAGTATATGAAAACTATTTCTTGTGTCTCCATTAATTGAATAGAACATATATGCCATGATTTATATTGATAGTAGGCAGAAACTATGCTTTGTTTTTGAAGATAGCTATCATAGCCTCATGTAAAAATTATTTTTTCATTAGAGGCAATAAATAATTGGGAACACTGATGCTTATAAATAGAAAGATTAAGGATACTTAATTCTTTTGTTTTTAATATTTCATGGGGTGCTTTTCTCTCCCTGGAGTAGCCTGTGGTCTATATTGAACAACTTACATTTTTTCTGTCTCTGTTTAATAAAATTTCTTTACCAGAAAAAATAAAGAAGATAAAAATTCCTCCTGACTTTCCAGATTGATGCTGCCTAAACCATAATTATCTTTCAAATGCAAGACGAGCTATATATTGACTTGTAGGTGGAACTAAACCAGTCATTTCAATCCAATCTTCTATGGAGTTTACCTCAGTCTAGAAAGTGCCTAGATGCAAAACAATTTTTCAAAAAACATTGAGCACTAGATAATTAGCATACGCTTCTCAATCTGTTCTTTATGTCTGAGATTATCATTCAGATTCTAGAGATAATGAAATTGATCTTAGTTTGGGTTCTTTTATATTTATCACCTGAGATACTCTGTAAGAATAAAATGGGCTAAGTTTTAAAGGATTTCATGAAAAAGCTACACGGTACAACATAGAAATAAATGACACTTGTGGGCTTTTATGGAGACTGGAGCGGGCCAGGCCAGTGAAGCATTTAATGTTGCTTTCACTTGTCTCTGTTCTGGAGAATTCTGTCAGGATGGATCTAGGGCAGCTGGAGTGTATCTTCTGACAGTGTGTCTTCACTAGGTCTTGTGATTGCTGAATTCTCCTCAAGCCCTCTTATAGATCAGACTAAATTCTATGAGTCATTCTGGAACAGATTCCTATGACCTTGAGGAAAACTTTGGGACTAGTTCTCATTCATGGTTTGAAAAAACTGATGCCAGACTTTGGCATTTTGTCAACAGTAAAATGACAGAGAATAAGGGTCAAGAAAGGGGAAAATAACACAAAATACTATAAAAAAATCTTGCATAGAATTAGAAAGGAAAAAAACTTTTCTCCATTATTTAGTTCTATCAAATATTACACTTTAGCAATCTGTTTACATTTCACACTTCAAAGGACAATGTCAGTTTGCGTTTTAGGGCACAAGGGAAGGTCAGGAAAAAAAGAGGATTCACTATTTTCATAAGATAATGACATTCATCCATAAATATACTGGTATTTTGTATTTCATAAGAGGCAATGGTATACTTAAATATAATAAAATGCAAACTTGTGTGATATAAAACATGCACAAAATGTCATGGGGAGGGATGTACAGAATCTCTTTGTTTCTACATTTCTACCTTTCTACCAAGTATACTTTTCAACAAAAAGTTGAATCCATAGTTTTAATAATTCTTATTTTAGCATTTCATGTTACACACTACAACAACTCCAAATATTTTACTTATTTGAAAAACATTTTACGTTCAGATCTATTTTGCTTCAAATTAAGAAAAAAAAACTACTCCAAAAACACAATAGCCAAACAGCAAATCTGATGAACTTTCTTCTGGATCAATAACTTTTCTAAGACTCCATTTTCCCAAATGTGCCTAATATTTTTCTATAATAGTGTCAGACACTACAAAGCAGTGGGCATTGCTGTCTTCAACTCTGACCCCTATCTCTATTGTTTTCTCCTTCCAGCTCTTCTTATGTTTTCTTTTGTGTTTGTGGTTATATGCACATGCTTTACATTCATGCAAAGGGAGTAGGGGAACATTCGCGCAGTGGGGAGACATGGGAAGGTGGTAAGAATATGAAAGAGAGAAAGAGGAGAAATATTAAGTGCTCCCAAAGCAGAGGTTCTTACAAGCAGGGGTTCTTGTAGTAAAGGGAGTCTCCTTACTGTCATCTAAAAAGTCTTCCTCCTCATCCTCCTTTCTCAGTCTCCTCTTCGTCTCCTCATCATAGATAAGACCCAGGAGGTTGGCTGGACTCTCACTTTCCCCATGGCACAACTCATTTAATCTAATGCCAATTGCCTGCAATGGGGAAAAAAAAAAGAATAAAATAACATGAAGTATGTCAGACAGTTAAAGGGTCTTAGAAGGCAGGGAACATAAGTGACCAAATAATGACATACTTTTCTTCCAAGCATTAGTCTCCTTTCTATGGACCAGTATTGTTTCTGTTGTGTTTCCCACTATGAAAACTCAGGGGTAGAAGACATTGATGTTACTTCCAAGGTGACTGAGTCCAAAGGCACATAAGGATTGGAATTACACCGTTGCATTCTCATACAATTTTTTTTTCTTTCTGAAAATATTTCCACTCACTTAAAGGTCATTTTGTAGGTCTTTTGTAAGTATGTGGATATTTTAGTGGAGGATTTTGTAGAGTAAAAATAAGAAGTCATAGTTCCTCAGAGCGCTTATAATGCTACTCTCTGAGATGAATGCTGATGAGACTGGAGATTGGCAGGATTTCTGATACTGCAATTTGGCTGATATCTTCCATTATATGTACACTTTTAAATAGACGTTTGTACCCTGCCGTGTTGTTCTACAAATAATGCTGCGGGCAACACTGGTTTTTACAAGGCATTCATAAACCAATACTTGCTAGTTTTTTCTAAATCTTCAACCATTCATAGCTAATTTAGCAAAATAAAATTTTATACAAAAAAAAAAGAAGACAAATTACTTATAGTTCATTCTTCCTTTGCCTTTTTTTGGTTTGTTTTGTTTTCTGGCCATACCCAGTGGGGCTTGGGGCTTACTCCTGGCTCTGTGCTTAGTGATCACTTCTGGAGGGTCTAGGGAACCACATGGTGTGCTGGGGATTCAACCCAATTGGATGCATATAAGACAAGTACGTTACCTGCTGCACCTACTTTCCTGCTTTAGTTATTTTTTAAAAATAATCTATATGCCGCCATCAGGCCTGCCCAGAGGGGAAAGGGTGTTGCTCCCTTCCGCCCTCCCCACTCTGGAAAGAAAGATGGTGGCCGCATGGGAGCCTTGTGGAGAGCAGGTATGAGTCGGGGGTGTGGGGGCAACTAAAACCTCATGGGAAGGGGGGCGTTCCAACCCATTCCTCACACCCTACCGAGGTCACCAGTTGCCCCCCATGAGCAGCTCTCCGGCACGGCCACAACTCCAGAGCACAGAAACCAATCTCTTAATTATCTGACTTTCAGTAGAAATACTTCCAGGGTTAATAAGTAAAATAGCAGAAATCCAAAACCGCGCGGCCGTGATAGTGGCCGCGTGACATCATTTAATTCTTGAACCCAGCTGTAGAAAGCAAATCATTTCACAACACTTTTTCAGCATGCCTGATTTGGGTGGGGGGGGGGTAAACTCCAAATAATAATGGTGCATCTTTTATCGAAACAATGAATCTAGTCAAAGTAGATAGAGTGTTAACTAGAATTCATCTGCTTCACAGGCATTGGGAGGGGTGGGAGGTGGGGTTTTATTGGGGTTCTTCGTGGTAAAAAATAAGTATTGGTAAAGGGAAATGTGTTTGATATTTGCATGACTGAGACCTAAACCTGAAAGCTTTGTAACTTTTCCCACAGTGATTCAATAAATAAATGAATTATATAAAAAAATTTAAACCCTTTAAAAAATAATCTATATGCAAAAGAAGAAGAAGAGAAATGCTCAAATGAGTACGAAACCTAGAAGGTTTATGGTTTGGTTATACAGTGCTTTAGTATGAACAGATTTCTAACTAGTATTCTTCTTTTGTCCTCTGAAATTCTTTTCAAATATTTAGAAAAATTATAAAATTCTGAATCACAAGTACTTAGATTCATTTTGGAAACAAACATATATCTTTAAAACAATCACACAAGCTCTTTGAATAGCTTGGACATCTGGAAACAAAAAAAATTTTTGTTAAAATCTGGAAGTAAGAAAGAAGCTAAAAAATAAAAAATAAAGACTGTATCAATTTCACTGCTAACCTGGAAGAAGTTTTAAATAAACAAAATCAAACAGATGCACAAAAACCACCACCTCAGCAAAAACCTTGCCTTGATCCTACTGCTTTGGAGATTCTCTGTAATGCCGGGAATATAAAATTATGGATTTGGAGAAGAGCCAACAAATCTAACAGTGAGACTCAAAGGGCAAGGAATTGTATAGCCGCCCTTCCAGGATGTTAAAATGAAGTCCTTTCAGTTAAATATATAGTTCATAAAGAGTTTCTCAAATAATACTTTTCTAGGACAGAACTGAAAGTTTAACTCATAATTTAGAGTTCTATGCCTTTCAATATTAGAAAAACGTCTTGGTGCTATTGATGTAGGCAGGTAGATAGGGAAAGGCTCTCTGCAATGAAACAAAGTCTCATAGAAGAAGAATTCTAGGACCGACCCACCCTGTGGAGACAGAGAATAAGGACTTGATAAGACCATCCCCAGACCCTGAAGTTATGGGCCTCCTCCCCATGAAATTCCTCCTTTCTGAGAACCCCTCTTTCAATCCGGTTGACTCCAGCGACCCAGCCCCAAGGAGATTCCAGGACATTCCAAGTCAGATGATTCTCGAACCCCTTTTCAATCCGGTTGACTCCAGCGACCCAGCCCCAAGGAGATTCCAGGACATTCCAAGTCAGATGATTCTCGAACCCCCTTTCAATCCGGTTGACTCCAGCGACTCAGCCCCAAGGAGATTCCAGAACATTCTGAGTCAGAAGGATCTATAAGAACCAGCTCGAGAGCCCACTTGGCGCTCTCTCCACCCTCGGAGAAGCCCGCGTTCCCTCTGGACGCGTTACTCTCTCTCTCTTATTCTCCATTCCCCCGCTTATCTGCTCATCCCTTCCTCTCCCTCTCCAAAAGCCTCCAAATAAAACCTGTTACTTCACTGCTCGTCTACTCCTGAAATTCTTTTCTGCGAGCGAGACAAGAACCCCAGAGACCTCGGGTAAGGGTTGGGACTGGTCTCTCTTTTCCTGCAAAGAGCAAATTCTCGCCCCAGCTTGAGTCCGTGGCTCCCCGAGCAATCGGGTGGCGGGGATTAACTCCCGTGCCGAGAAGATCAAGCGGACTTCAGGTGTGGCTTGACGGCCACCTTGTGGGGCTGGCGGGGCTCAGGCCCGTGCCGAGCAGGTGCTCACTGCAGACTTTACCGGTCCTAGCCTACCCAGGGTTCCGGGTGGCAGAGGCGGGTGAGGAGAAAGTGGCTGTCTTTCTCCTCCCCACTTCACATAAGTCACCCGTGGGGCCCACCGACATCACTATGATTATCCCTTTCTTCATTTATCAATTATCAAATGAGATAATTTCTTAAATATTAAATAAAATAAAACAAATGTATTGTCTATGCTATAAAAACTGTTACTGCGTATTCACATTCTTGTCTAATATATTGTAAATCTCTGCACAGAAGGATCATTGCTTTGCCACGGGGAAAGACTTTGAATGTTTGCTTATGTTTGCTCCGCATGCCGTGAACTGGATTCAAAAATCAGGCATATGACTACACATTTTTCCCTTTTCCTCAATGAGGTTACAGTCTATTGAGAAAGTAACAGCATATCAAAACCAGACAACTGGAGGAAAAAAAAGTAAATGAATTAATATTTTATAAGATGGACAGAGTAAATGTAGTACAGTGATTAACAGAAAGTCTTATGCTATATATTTTGGGGACATGGTGTTTTGAGGATGGGGAAAAGTGAATATTCCAGCTGGAAGACTCCAAAACATCCATATTTAAGGAAAGATACTAATACATTCAGAACTGAGAAGTGAGCCACTTGATTAAAGCACATGTATGGGAAAGAAAGTAATAAGCAGGAAGGCTGAGAGGAATATTGGGACTATCTTCTGTACTTCTTAAAATTGAATTTTATTTTTCATTTTCAAATATGACAAAGTGTAAGCTTTTGGTGGGGAAACAAGCTGAACATTCTTTCCAGAGACACTGTACTAGATGAACAGGAATGGAAAGATAAACTGTGAATTTTAACTGTTAAAAATTATCACACAATTTATTACTGACAATCTAGTAAGGGCAAAGGAGTAAGATGCAGATACTTTAGCTATGAACACCTATTTGACTTCAGCATTCATGATCTTGACAGGCCTTGAATAAAGGTTGTGGAGAGAGCAGAGAAACCAGCCTAAGAAATTTGGGTTTCATCCCAAGAGAAAAAGGGACCACTGAAGCATTATAAAGTGGTTAAGAAACACAATCTGATTTACATATTAGCCGAATCACTTTGACAGTAATTTGGAGAATGACTCGGAAGGGGCAAGTCTGGAGGCTGGGAGTTAAGGATGAGTGTTCTGCTTTTAGATGGGCTATGATAGGAGATTGTTTTACTGGCAGTGTGTAGGATGGCTCAGATGAGGGAAGACAGTGGGGAGGAGAGCAAAATAGAAAAATACTTGAGTCATGCAGATGGAAGTACAGAGGATCTGACCTAAAAGGGCAGTAGTGTCAGAGAAGATATGAAATCAATAGAAGTAAAGGAGGTTAGAATGTGCTCAAAGGCTATCATCTCAGATAATGACACCAAAAATAAGACTGGAGAGTCCCAGAGGATTTTTTTGGTGGGGGTATGTTTATAAATGAGGAGAAGGGTTTTATTTTGGTCAGATGGGTTTCAGAATATTGTGTGAATGCTTCCGAACTACTATTGGCAAAACCAAGCTGGGAGTCAAAAAGTACAATGGGGAGAGAAATCTGTGCTGCTGGAATGTATGTAGCAGTAAAAAAAAACCAGGAATGGATGGAGCCCCAGGGATGTTATATGGGAAGAAATTATATGAACTTGGGAAGTTCTGCATTTGTAGGGAGGGAAGAATCAGAGACCGATGAAGCAGAAAGGTCACTAAGCACAGAGATCTGAGGAGAGCTGAGGATACAAGCACATGCAATACAGAAAAAAAAGATGAAAGGTGGAAGTATCAAACAGAAGCCAGCACTGCAAAGAAGTCAAGAGACACTTGCTTGGAAGTAATTCTTCAGGAAGTCATTCACATAAATCTGACATGCTCCACTACTGAGAACTGAATGAATTGTTTTCTCAGGGGATGTCAGTGGTATCAACAATCTTAACAGTAATAAGAGATTGTCTTCCAGTACAACTTTCCTCAAATGAAGTAAGTGATAAGAGAGGATTAAAATATCCATCCAATTTGAAACAACCATTTTTCATGCAAAACCTACTTTTGCTTTCAAACCCTGAGAGGCAACAACTAAGAAACTGGGGGAAAAAAATTCAGTCTTTAAAAACAAGAAAATTTGAGGCTAAGGCAATATTACAGCAGATAGAGTGCTTGTCTTGCAAGATGCCGACCTGGGTTTAATACCCGGAATCCCATACAATCCCCCAAACTCTTTCCAGAAGTGATCCCTGGGTGCAGAGCCAGGAGTCAAGCTTGTGCTTCGCTGGGTATGGCCCCAAATAAAAATAAATAAAGCAAAAATATTTGGAAAACACTAGAATAGAAAACCAAAGCAAGGACATGACTATTTCATCATTATAACAATGATTTTTATAGAGTTGGTTCTTGAGATTGTTGGGTGACAGAATCTTGATTTCTTTGCTTACCAGATCTGTAGAAACTGGCAAGGTTTTTGACCTGCTTAAACTTCTGCTCTCTAAACTTTATATATCATAATCTATAACTTCAGGAAGATTAAGTAAATTAAGTTTACATTTCTGCTAAAACTTTCTGTTGAAAGACATTCAAGACATTGTCATCCAAATAAACCCACATAAGCAAAAAACCTTCTTCACTTCATCCAAAGGCTCTTATAGAAGAAAATGAAAAGCTCACGTCTCCCCATTGGTAGAAGAGTTTGGCAGCATTCCACTGCAGCTTCTGGTTCCGCTTGTTGCCCACGATGGGAGACCGTCCTCTCGACAGACCCTTTTTAGTGATGTTCACGTGATGTCCTTTCATCCATTCTGGCCAGTTGCCCCGGTTGCAGCGATGAACAAACCGAGCACATTCCAGGAACAGAGCGGCTCTGGCAACCACAGGCGCTTCCTGAGGAGGGTGAAGAAAAGAATAACGCGGTCTTCATGGACAATAAGTAGACCTAAAAGTGAATCTTTAAATCCTCTGAGATTTAGTTTTAATCTTCGTGTTCTGATGTGGTTTAGACTACACTTCTCTAGGCAATGTTAGCATAGTAGACACAGCATGGGGAATCTAGAACCTACTAAGGCAATTGTGAATAAAGACTAGGACTAAGAGGTGTGTGTGTGTGTGTGTGTGTGTGTGTGTGTGTGTGTGTGCGCGCGCGCGTGTGTGTGTGTGCATGTGTGTGTGTGTGTGTGTGTGTGTGTGTGTGTTTCACACCCAGCAGTGCTCAGGGCTTTTCTTGGCTTTGTGCTCAGGGATTATTGGTGGTGGAGCTCAAGGGTCATATGTGATGTTGGGAGTCAAAAATGGGTTCGCAAAACGCTCAATCCCTACCCACTGTACTTTCTCTTCCGCCCCTAAAAAAAAATCAGACATTTTAAGTAGATGCTTGTGTTTCATTTTCTCTTAAAGAATCTGAAGAAATTTTGTATGTTTGTTTATATATATAATAAAGCAGTTGGGATTCGAGTGAGAGTCAAATAAGGTTTAACATGTTTTTTTTTAAATAAAATAGAAAGCTTTTTGTTAAATCAGCATGAAACAAACAGATTTAATTTCTAAGCTAGTGTATATATTTAGTCCACAGTGTGAACAAAGTGATTTTGTTCCAACAATAAACTCTCATCTTTGATATGGTCCAAGGAAGTATAAGCCTGTTCTCATACATTTTGGCTAGTGCTAACAGAAAGTCTAGATTTTGTTGAGGAAGTCTATGTAACACCCTTCTGCTATGAATAACGGACCAAATTTTGATCAAATGGGTATGATTTAAATAGAAAATGTTGTTAAAGAGAAATTATTTACTGAAAAATGAAAAGGAGAGCAATTTTTTAAAGGAAAATACAAGTATGGCTCCACCTTGGTATGTCCAGATGGACTTCAAAACATGAAAGAAGGGAAGATTTTCTATTGATACCCAGAGACTGGTAAAGGTCAAATGATCTACAGGCTGGAAAATATTTAATAATAAATTTTTCATAAGAGGTAAATATGTCAGAGAAAAATATATAAAATTGATATGGGGGGATGGGACCACACTGTTTCTATGCTCAGGAATCTGCCCTGGTGGGAATGTGGGGTTCATATGAGGTGCCTGGGGTAAGAAACTGGGCCAGTTACAGGCAAAGCAAGTGCCTTATTGACTGTAAAATCTCTTTAACCCAATATGTTTTAACTTGTACTAATTAAAAAATATACATGATGATCTTGACAATACCTCATAGTTACCTAAACATCTAGGTTTCAAAGTTAAAAATACTTTTCATAATATTAAGCAATATTATGTATTCTTAACAATGCATGATACATAAGAAATATAGATTATATACTCAGACTATTAGTTACATGCAATTAACTTTTATTAATTGTAACTCTTTAAGTGGTTATAAGCCTGTGATCTATCAATAAAATTTATATTTTAATTTTTAAATTAAATCTAGGTAAAGGTAAAGGTAAAGGCCCTCCCGTTGATCGTCGATTTGCTCGAGCGGGCCCAGTAACGTCTCCATTGGAGACTTTGTTGTTACTGTGTCTGGCATATCGAATACTCTCGGTAGCTTGCCGGGCTCTCCGAGAGGGGCGGAGGAATCGAACTCGGGTCGGCCATGTTGGCTGCTTGTAAGGCGAATGCCCTACCGCTGTGCTATTTTATTTTAATTTTTAAAGTTATAATTTATATTTTATTATACTAAAAATGAAAGTATCTATTTTAATTTTTAAAGGCATAATTTATATTTTATGATGCTAAAAATTAAATTTGTATTTTAATATTAAATGTATAATTTGTACACTATTATATATCAAAGCATGGATATTCATAGGCTTTAACCAAGGTCTTCCTGATGCCTAGGTCTGTGCTTGTTCCTCTTTGTTATATACATTACCTTAATTTATATTCATGTAAAGCTTAGTAAAAAATGATTTTCAAAGATGGCAGTGTTTATAGTATAGAGTAAAATTGCCATGATATGAAAGGGAGAATTTGTGTCCTCCTTTGTGAAATGACTAAAAAATTGGTACCTATGACATTATAATGCTGTTAAACTTGAAAAAAACCTTAAATATCTAAATACTAAATTGATAACTGCTTTCTTTCCTTTAAAAATAATTTTTAGAACACAGGTAGAAAATTGCTGTCTAGAAACAAAATACAAATGCCATATAATATTATTTTCTAAAGCACAAATATATAATCATATTATTTTCCCACTTGATGTCTGTTTATAGGCTTACCCACCTCAACCATAAATTGAATATAGAAATATAATTTCTGTTATTTTGGTTCCATTCCTTTTCTCTGCCTATGTGAGGTGTTTGTGGTTCAATTATATTGGCTGGAGTCTTCAACCAATCAAACTGGCTGCAATCTTCCAAGTAAGACATCCCACATACTTTTCCGTGTGCTGTTTCCAGGGTTTACAGAACCTTTTCCATCAGGCAAATTCTCACTTACATGATTCTGGTCACTTATTGCCTGTAAGAAGCCTGCCTTAATCCATCCCTTCTTCTCCTTTCAGGCAGAGTTGTTTACTTCTTATTTTTAATACCAGTTTCTCAAAAACACTGTCAAGGAAGTTAGCCCAATAGGTATTTTTTCCCATTCCCTACAACTTAAATTAAGCCATCATGTAATTTAAGCAGAAATCTACTTATGCAGAGACTTAATTTTATAAAGCATATTATATATGACTATGACGTAAAAATCAATCCATGTGAAAATGAAGAAAACAAGATGAACAGACTGGTGAAACAATTATTAACTGAGATGCTGCAAAGACTTGGTAGCAGGTCACAGATATGCATAGAAATACTTGAGATTGCAAAGGTTCAAATGACTTTCTACATAAATTCAATCAATATTTTGGTAATATCATGTACACTTAAAATCTATATTCTCTTCTTGTATTAAATATTTATCTTACTAAATATATTAGATATGCTAATTGGTGTCTGGAAAAGGCCAGAACATCTGTCTGGATAAACAAAATCCAGTCTGGAGAGCAAGGCAAGTGACACAAATTTATTCTTCACCTGTCACATTTTGACATACTTCCAATATAAACAATTCATTGCTAATTGGCAAGAGAACACAAATAATACTGCTGGGATAGTATTATCCTATGAACCTGGCTTCTTTAGAATTGGCCAGGTTGAAACTTAAGTAACCCAAATGCATAGAATTGAGGATCTTTCTTTTTCTTTTTCTTTTCTTTTTTTTTAATGCCACATCTCAGAGAAAACTCTGAGAAAATTAACAATAGATGTGTGAAAGCTTCAAATGTCATGTGTTCTGTGAGGTTGCCAGTATATATTGCCCTGCCTTTTGAAGGGAAAAAATGGTCTCAGTTGCCAAGGAACTCACGATATTTTGAATAAAAATAAATTTCAATACTCTTTTCTGAGAAACTTTTTATTATGAAACTCAATTCTCAATTACTGGCCACAGTAAATTTTTTTCAAATAATTTTTTATAAAGTAACATTGCGTTCTATAAGTTTCAGCACATCATTAGAAATCAGCATCTATAGATACTATATTACATTCTAATCTAAATTTGGAAATGGAGTGGAAACCAATATGAGAATAATTCCCACAAATTGAACTATATAGTATACATTAAGGAGGAGTGTTAGCTATTATGTAAAAAGTTGATTTCATCAGTTTACTGTATAAATTTTTAAGCCCTAGAACATTTTTATATGTTGCTGAAGAATTATGGCACAGTTATTTCAAATGATGCCTTTTTATTAAAGCCTCATGACTCTGTCAAATGAAGGCAAGGCCTGAGAATACTGAGATAAAGTTGGCAGTGAATAACATCAATTTTTGGTATATTGTAGTGTGCATATTTTCATAGAGAGGGTTAAAGAAGCTGTTGACATACAAGGATAAGGACACTATGTGGATTCTAATGGAAGATACTCAACAATACCAAATTATTTGACTTCGCATTATGAGTGTAAAAGCATTCAAGGTATTCTAGCAATCTAGTGTGAGTCTGTTTATGGGGAATTATTTTCCTTCTAAATTCCCTTTCAAAGTGCCATGTAGAATACACTAGTTTTAGAAGTAGTGTTATGGAATAATTTGGACAAAGAATTCTTCCTGGACATAAAGGAGAGTCAATTTTCCCTCTTTTTTGATGGAGCTTACCTCTTAATGGGTCAGTGCAATCTGAAGAAGCAGCAAAAAATGGAGGCATGACAGAATGGATAGGGATGGATTCACATCACAGAGAAAAACAGCACAAATGGAGAAAAATGAATCAGAAGAATGCTGCATGGCTGGAAAGAACCACAGAGTATCAGAGACATAGTTGAAAGTGAGCATCTAACAAAATTTGAGCCCATTAGTATACCACAAAGAATTTTGTTGGTGGTCCTGAAAGAAAAATAGGAATTAAAAAATTTTTTTCTTATTAACATGTCTGCTGGATTACATTTTCCTTGTTCTATAATACTAGGGGATGGCTTCTATTTCATTACATCGTAACGTCATAGTTCTCAGACAAAAATCAATTTAACTGGGAAGACAGATATTGCATTGAACCTTAGGGCATTTCTGAGTTTCAAGGTTGAGAATAGTCAAATACCAACAATTTTCTATGGTTTGATCTTCATATAAGATCATATACAGTATCTACTGAGATTTTTATGTTATAATTATGAAACATTGTGAGAATATTATTATGCAGCATGGATTTTTATATATCTACAATAGGAAAACAATTGTCAGGCCACTTTTCCTTTACTTCATTTGCTACTTTCCCCTGCATTTAACAAGGTCATTAAGTACGCTGAATGTTTCCTTTAGGAAAGTGAAGAAGAGAATTAGAATACTAATTCAAATAGCTGTGCTTCATTTTACTTGGGGAATCTAGAAAATATTGTTACCAAGTTACA